ATATGTTTTTCTTTGGGATCACCTTCTTATTTAGCTTCTTTAGGAGATCAAATTATAGACTCACTGACCTTTATTTATCTCTAGAAACCAATTATGAGTGAGTACATCCCAAGTTCATCTTTTTGGGTCTGGGTTACCTCACTCAGGATAGTGTGTTCTATTTCCATCCATTTGCATGCAAAATTCGAGAAGTCATTGTTTTTTTACCGCTGAGTAGTATTCTATTCAGTATTTTTTTAAACTATGTCTTGTTTAGGAATTAAAGCTATTGGGCAGTGGATAGGACTAGGCAAAATGAAGAGGTGGTTACTATTTATTAGATAGTAGAAACTCAGATACTTTACAAACCCTTGCCCCATGCCCAGCAATCTGTATTAGAACCCAATGAATGGATCCCAGAGTTTTTATTTTTATTTTTTAAACATCTGTTTTCCATTGTTTTATTCATTTCTTTTATTCTTCATATTACATTGCTTTTAGATACATAGGACCCATGTAGTATATTCCAGTTCTTTGTCTATATGTATGTGTGTATATGTCAGTGCCCTTGGAGGTCAGAAGAGGGCATCAGATACCCTGGAACTGGAATTACACACAGTTGTGAGCTGCCATATGGGTGCTGGGATTTAGAACCCAGGTCCTTAGGAAGAGTAGCCAGTGCTCTGAGCCAGTTCTCCAGCCCTTATTCTAATTCTTTAAATGGAAAAAAAAATGGGCTAATTAAGGATTGGCTATTTAGAAAAGGACAAATAGCTAGGGAGTAGTAGTCCCTACAAACTCATTTTTAAAAGACAATCTAAAGTAGTGCAACAAGAGAAGAACATTTTAGTATCACTTTATAACAAAAGGCCCAAATTACTAGTGTTAAGCCAACTCTAGGATAAATGGCATACATACTTATTACTCTGCAAGTTCGGCACTTTTCTATTCTCCCTAATTTTTTCACAACATTTGCTCATCTATAGTCAACCTACTTTGTATCAGTTTTCAGAAATGTTTAGCCCTTCCATGTTTTCTTCTGAAGTCTCTTCTAGCCCTTGTATTTCACAGCAAGAGCTTTGTTGTACCATATGAAGCCTTCGTATTTTTATTTAGTGTGTTGTGTGAATGTGTGAATACACACGTGTGTGGATGGAGGTCATTTCAGGAGCTAATTCCCTCCTTCCACTCTAGAGTCTTCTATCTGCTGAGCCACCTCTTCAGCTCCTGTTCTTTGTATTTTCTCCTATCATCCTTGCTTCATTCTATGTCTGATATATTCTCAAATTAGGTTACCTTAAATATGAAGCCTACTAAACATCAGCATAACAAAGCAAACTAGGTGTTCCACCTGTAATGTTCTCAAATGTAAAACAGGTTAATAGTTTTTATACTAGTTGAAGTAATTGTTTCTAATTTTCATAATTATTGAGTTAAGATGAAAACATTCAATAAACATAACTTCTGATTATTTTACTTATAATAGTTTTTCATATGGTGTTTAATCTGTAATATCTTTTTAGTGCATTCTGGATTCTTTCTTAGTCCTAATGTTTACTCATATGGTTAGATGTTTTTCAGATGAACATGGTGAGACAAAGATGTGTATTTCCTATATTACTTGAGATAGAAGACTTCTTTCTGAGGCACTGAGCCAGAACTCAGAAATCTCTTTTGTGCTACTTTGAGTTCCTCTTTTCTT